ATTAGAGAAGAACCCGTCCAGAAGACCTATACAATATTTTTCTTTTTGATTTTTACCTGGATTACTGAGATGCATCAGGACATTTTGGTGTACTGTTTCAGAATTTTTTTAATATAAGGATTGCATACATGTACATGCAATCATTTGAGCATACAGTATAGCAGATACAGCAAATAGGGAAAGAAAAAAAAGGCACTCCAGTAGAGCAAAAGATTAAAAAGTAGACAGGAGACCCCATGAAAGAATGTCAAACATGCAGTTCCAGCGTGGTTAAAGGATCCCTTGGTCCTCTCATGAATAGTGATCGGGGGGCAGGCCATTCTGAACCCAATCCTTTAGACTTTTTGGTCTCTGAGCAGCAGCCAAACTCCTGCTCTTTTTTTTTCTGGCTGTTGCAAAGTCTGCTCTCACTCCAGACATGATTAACTGGATAACTAGACGGCTGGATAGATGGATAACAAGTGTGGATAAGCTGCTGCATAATGATCAGTGAGGAAGGCGAAGTAAGAGGTGAGGAGAAAAAAAAAAACAAAGCAGAGGATGAACCCCTGGCTTCTCGCAGGTTGTGATCCAGTCGCTCCTTTAACACTGATGAAACTCGCTGCATTTGCACCTCAGAGACATAATCAGCACACGAGCCTGTCCTCTCCCCTCACCTTGATGAGTTTTAGCCTCTACCCTTTTTTACTCCCCACCTTCTCCCGATGTCTCTCAGCTCATTTAATGGGAGATGTGCGCTTTTAAAACAGTTTCCACATGCAAACGTCTATATTTGTGTTAATTATAACAGCATTTGATTTGGAGTCACGCTGTGCGAGTTCTCGCCATCAATCCTTTTTTCAGAGAAACCTTGTCAGCGCAGTCAGGGTTTTTACTTATGGCTCGCTGCAGCCTGGCAGACTTTTAATGAAGCTTTACATTTATCCATTAAATCATTGATTTCTCATAAAAGCTCAAGAAGGCTGTGCACTGTTAGAGGCTCACTGACTTTGGCAGAGGAAAACAAGGAGACATTCAAATAAAAGAGTTAATAAGACAATAAGACAGAAAAAGTTCATTTTATGTAGAGAAAGATTAGTGTTATAGCTGTTTTGATCAAACCTTGAGAACGACATTATGAGTCACCTCATGTGATTTAGTGAATTTTCACAAGTTGTAAAATATGTGTTTTGAATACTCTCAGCTACTACACCAAGTTTAAGCTCAGCATTTAGAAAGTGACTGTTAAATAGGGCTGCAACTAATGATTATTTTAATAATCGATTAATCTGTCTATTATTTTCTTTCGATTAATCGATTAATCGGCCAAATCATTAAAACACTTAATTACATAAATATGAGTAGATATAAATTCATTAAATTCCTGTATAAATTAGGGATGCAAGTTATCGATTAATAAATTAATCTGAAGTTGATTTATCTTATAGATTGACTGACAGTTAATTAACAAGCAGCCATTTTCTTAAAAAAAACAACTGAGTTTTCGATTGAATCAAGAGGGTCTTTTCATAAAATGGAGGATTTTTTAAAAAAATAATATTCTAATTAAAAGAAGAAACACATCATAAATATTTTCACAACTGACTGGAAAAAAATAAACCCAAAAATGTGGATATCTCATGCATTAATAAACTTGGTTATAGCTATAAAACATAACCAAACAGATATTTAACAGGTTGCTGAATGAAGGAAACAGATAAAAAACAAAATATGATTTTTAGATGTAAAACTATTAGTAACGTCCTGATGCATCTCAGTAATCCAGGTAAAAAATCAAAGAAAAAAAATTGTATAGGTCCTCTGGACGGGTTCTTCTTTAATGAAACGTTTCGTCTCTCTTCCAAGAGACTTCTTCAGTCTGAGAG